GTCAGAGACAGCAGACATGATATAGGAGATGGTCAGAGACAGCAGACATGATATAGGAGATGGTCAGAGACAGCAGACATGATATAGGAGATGGTCAGAGACAGCAGACATGATATAGGAGATGGTCAGAGACAGCAGCCACGATACAGGAGATGGTCAGAGACAGCAGACACAATACATGAGATGGTCAGAGACTGCAGACATGATACAGGAGATGGTCAGAGACAGCAGACACAATACAGGAGTTGGTCAGAGACAGCAGACATGATATAGGAGATGGTCAGAGACTGAAACATACTATAAAAGGTTGGGTGGGGGTCAGAGGACATGCTGGGGGTATGTTACGCTGAGTCCTGGACCTGAGCACAATACTTTGCAGCGTGCACTGCGGGAAGGGTTAAAGCTGAGACTGTTCTGCACGCTGAGCTCTCGGCACCGACCTGTCATATCGTTATTTTCATCCCGTGTTATCACTCTGGGTGGTCAGAGACTCACATACTACAGGGGATGGTCAGAGACTCACATACTACAGGGGATGGTCAGAGACTCACATACTATAGGAGATGGTCAGAGAATAACATACTACAGGGGATGGTCAGAGACTGCAGACATGATACAGGAGATGGTCAGAGACTGCAGACATGATACAGGAGATGGTCAGAGACTGCAGACATGATACAGGAGATGGTCAGAGACTGCAGACATGATACAGGAGATGGTCAGAGACTGCAGACATGATACAGGAGATGGTCAGAGACTGCAGACATGATACAGGAGATGGTCAGAGACTGCAGACATGATACAGGAGATGGTCAGAGACTGCAGACATGATACAGGAGATGGTCAGAGACTGCAGACATGATACAGGAGATGGTCAGAGACTGCAGACATGATACAGGAGATGGTCAGAGACTGCAGACATGATACAGGAGATGGTCAGAGACTGCAGACATGATACAGGAGATGGTCAGAGACTGCAGACATGATACAGGAGATGGTCAGAGACTGCAGACATGATACAGGAGATGGTCAGAGACTGCAGACATGATACAGGAGATGGTCAGAGACTGCAGACATGATACAGGAGATGGTCAGAGACTGCAGACATGATACAGGAGATGGTCAGAGACTGCAGACATGATACAGGAGATGGTCAGAGACTGCAGACATGATACAGGAGATGGTCAGAGACTGCAGACATGATACAGGAGATGGTCAGAGACTGCAGACATGATACAGGAGATGGTCAGAGACTGCAGACATGATACAGGAGATGGTCAGAGACTGCAGACATGATACAGGAGATGGTCAGAGACTGCAGACATGATACAGGAGATGGTCAGAGACTGCAGACATGATACAGGAGATGGTCAGAGACTGCAGACATGATACAGGAGATGGTCAGAGACTGCAGACATGATACAGGAGATGGTCAGAGACTGCAGACATGATACAGGAGATGGTCAGAGACTGCAGACATGATACAGGAGATGGTCAGAGACTGCAGACATGATACAGGAGATGGTCAGAGACTGCAGACATGATACAGGAGATGGTCAGAGACTGCAGACATGATACAGGAGATGGTCAGAGACTGCAGACATGATACAGGAGATGGTCAGAGACTGCAGACATGATACAGGAGATGGTCAGAGACTGCAGACATGATACAGGAGATGGTCAGAGACTGCAGACATGATACAGGAGATGGTCAGAGACTGCAGACATGATACAGGAGATGGTCAGAGACTGCAGACATGATACAGGAGATGGTCAGAGACTGCAGACATGATACAGGAGATGGTCAGAGACTGCAGACATGATACAGGAGATGGTCAGAGACTGCAGACATGATACAGGAGATGGTCAGAGACTGCAGACATGATACAGGAGATGGTCAGAGACTGCAGACATGATACAGGAGATGGTCAGAGACTGCAGACATGATACAGGAGATGGTCAGAGACTGCAGACATGATACAGGAGATGGTCAGAGACTGCAGACATGATACAGGAGATGGTCAGAGACTGCAGACATGATACAGGAGATGGTCAGAGACTGCAGACATGATACAGGAGATGGTCAGAGACTGCAGACATGATACAGGAGATGGTCAGAGACTGCAGACATGATACAGGAGATGGTCAGAGACTGCAGACATGATACAGGAGATGGTCAGAGACTGCAGACATGATACAGGAGATGGTCAGAGACTGCAGACATGATACAGGAGATGGTCAGAGACTGCAGACATGATACAGGAGATGGTCAGAGACTGCAGACATGATACAGGAGATGGTCAGAGACTGCAGACATGATACAGGAGATGGTCAGAGACTGCAGACATGATACAGGAGATGGTCAGAGACTGCAGACATGATACAGGAGATGGTCAGAGACTGCAGACATGATACAGGAGATGGTCAGAGACTGCAGACACGATACAGGAGATGGTCAGAGACAGCAGACACGATACAGGAGATGGTCAGAGACAGCAGACATGATACAGGAGATGGTCAGAGACTGCAGACATATACAGGAGATGGTCAGAGACTGCAGACATGATACAGGAGATGGTCAGAGACTGCAGACATGATACAGGAGATGGTCAGAGACTGCAGACATGATACAGGAGATGGTCAGAGACTGCAGACATGATACAGGAGATGGTCAGAGACTGCAGACATGATACAGGAGATGGTCAGAGACTGCAGACATGATACAGGAGATGGTCAGAGACTGCAGACATGATACAGGAGATGGTCAGAGACTGCAGACATGATACAGGAGATGGTCAGAGACTGCAGACATGATACAGGAGATGGTCAGAGACTGCAGACATGCTACAGGAGATGGTCAGAGACAGCAGATATGATACAGGAGATGGTCAGAGACTGCAGACATGCTACAGGAGATGGTCAGAGACAGCAGACATGATACAGGAGATGGTCAGAGACAGCAGCCACGATACAGGAGATGGTCAGAGACAGCAGACACAATACATGAGATGGTCAGAGACTGCAGACATGATACAGGAGATGGTCAGAGACAGCAGACACAATACAGGAGTTGGTCAGAGACAGCAGACATGATATAGGAGATGGTCAGAGACTGAAACATACTATAAAAGGTTGGGTGGGGGTCAGAGGACATGCTGGGGGTATGTTACGCTGAGTCCTGGACCTGAGCACAATACTTTGCAGCGTGCACTGCGGGAAGGGTTAAAGCTGAGACTGTTCTGCACGCTGAGCTCTCGGCACCGACCTGTCATATCGTTATTTTCATCCCGTGTTATCACTCTGGGTGGTCAGAGACTCACATACTACAGGGGATGGTCAGAGACTCACATACTACAGGGGATGGTCAGAGACTCACATACTATAGGAGATGGTCAGAGAATAACATACTACAGGGGATGGTCAGAGACTGCAGACATGATACAGGAGATGGTCAGAGACTGCAGACATGATACAGGGTCACTGAATGGCCTCCCTCTGTGTCCAACCCGGAACACTGGACGGCCCAGGGAGTTTGCCAGACCTAGATTTCAGGCTGTGCTCATCACTGGGTAATGCCGGCTTATGCTGTGCATTGTGGTGCACCACAGGTCAGAGACTGCAGACATGGTAGAGGAGATGGTCAGAGACTGCAGACATGGTACATGAGATGGTCAGAGACTGCAGGCATGGTACAGGAGATGGTCAGAGACTGCAGACATGGTACAGGAGATGGTCAGAGACTGCAGACATGATACAGGAGATGGTCAGAGACTGCAGGCATGGTACAGGAGATGGTCAGAGACTCACATACTATAGGAGATGGTCAGAGACTCACATACTATAGGAGATGGTCAGAGACTCACATACTATAAGAGATGGTCAGAGAACAACATACTACAGGGGATGGTCAGAGACTGCAGACATGATACAGGAGATGGTCAGAGACTGCAGACATGGTACAGGAGATAGTTACAGACTGCAGACAGGATACAGGAGATGGTCAGAGACTGCAGGCATGATACAGGGGATGGTCAGAGACTGCAGACATGATACAGGGGATGGTCAGAGACTGCAGACATGATACAGGAGATGGTCAGAGACTGCAGACATGATACAGGGGATGGTCAGAGACTGCAGACATGCTACATGAGATGGTCAGAGACTGCAGACATGATACAGGAGATGGTCAGAGACTGCAGACATGGTACAGGAGATATTTACAGACTGCAGACAGAAGATGGGCAGGGACTGCAGACAGGATACAGGGGATGGTCAGAGACTGCAGCCATGATACAAGACATGGTCAGAGACTGCAGATATGATACAGGAGATGGTTCAGAGACTGCAGACATGGTACATGAGATTAGGGTTGCCACCTTTTCTTCAAGCAAAACCCGAACACTATAGCGACGCGCGAACATCTTTTTGGGAGAATGAGTTGTGGCTTATTCATATGTAAATATCACAGTTGAGACTGTTTTCAGTGGGGGGGGCCAGTAGCCCCTATCTTAATTTTGGTTGCCTCTGTCTGCCTGACATCTTGTGTCCAGGTTTCAGCTGCCATGAAACCCGGACACAGCATTCGAAACCCGAACTGTCCGGGTGAATCCTGGACAGGTGGCAACCCTACATGAGATGGTCAGAGACTGCAGACATACTATAGGAGATGGTCAGAGACTGCAGGCATGGTACATGAGATGGTCAGAGACTGCAGACATACTATAGGAGATGGTCAGAGACTGCAGGCATGGTACATGAGATGGTCAGAGACTGCAGACATACTATAGGAGATGGTTAGAGACTGCAGACATACTATAGGAGATGGTCAGAGACTGCAGGCATGGTACATGAGATGGTCAGAGACTGCAGACATACTATAGGAGATGGTCAGAGACTGCATATATGATAGAGGAGATGTTCAGAGACTGCAGACATGATACAGGAGATGGTCAGAGACTCAGAGCCCAGGATACGTCTCTCCTGTTGGTGAGATCCATTAGAAGAGATCACCTCTCACGGCTGTTTCCCTTTTTGCCTCCACACAGGTGAAGCTGGACAAGGACCAGTTCTCCGTATTGCTGGACGTCAAACATTTCTCCCCCGAGGAGCTGTCAGTCAAAGTGATCGGGGACCACGTGGAGGTTCACGCCAAGCACGAGGAGCGCCAGGTAACCGACATCTCATTGGCTGTGCTCAATAAGGCACAAGACCCGGCGGGCCAACCGTCCCTTTGACAGGTCACATGATGGGAGCTAACAACCGTCCCTTTAACAGGTCACATGACGGGAACTAACAACCGTCACTTTAACAGGTCACATGACGGGAGCTAACAACCGTCCCTTTAACAGGTCACATGACGGGAGCTAACAACCGTCCCTTTAACAGGTCACATGATGGGAGACAACAACTGTCCCTTTAACAGGTCACATGACGGGAGCTAACAACCGTCCCTTTAACAGGTCACATGACGGGAGACAACAACCGTCCCTTTAACAGGTCACATGACGGGAGACAACAACCGTCCCTTTAACAGGTCACATGACGGGAGACAACAATCGTCCCTCACTAATAATCTCCGGTGATGACGAGTCACCAGAACCTCGAGACCCGCGTATTCCTCTGACACAGGAACAATGTTTCGGCCACATCGGCCCTTCATCAGCCTATCAGCGAGTTCGACTGAAGCCAAAACTATTTTTAGTTTGGGATGGGGAGGAGAGGGATCAGACCCCCTGACAGGGAGATTCACCCGCTCTGTGTGTCCTGGTGAATGTTATCACTGAATGTAAAGGAAATCCAACATTTTGGGTTGTCCCCAGGACAGGACTGGAGGGGAAATCTTCCAATAGGGACACTAGTTCTGCTGACAACAAGGATTTCCTTTAATTTGGAGGGATTACCTTTCACTTCCTGTTGTGGCTAACGGACAGGAAGTAAAGGGAAATCACTGTCCGACGGGACAAAAAGCTGACGGGGGAGGGGGGGTTATAACCCTCCCTTACTCCATCCAAAACTAAAAAGGTTTTTGTTTCGCCATGTGAATGAGCCCCATTAACTAAGACTGGCCATCGGGTCCATGAACTGAGCAGGTCCCAAAAAATTCCATGGGGGGAGGGCGTATGCTTTTACGCCACAAGGTGTACTTGACCCATCTGCTAAACGTCGTGGGATGCAGGTCCTGAACCCTAA